GGAGCAGACATAAACAAACAACATTCGCGAGATATTTTCGCGCGAAAAATAAATATTGTTCAACATTGGACAAAAATGCATTTTCATTTTATTTTTAATGCTATTACATTGAGCAGTGATTTCACTCTCAATCTTGGTAATTATTTTCAGTAAAAAAAGAAAGAATTCACCTATTATAAGATAAAAATCACCCCATTAATGAAAGAGTGAGCGGGCCATTGACTATGGAAGAAATAGTACATGATAAACCATGAATATATTTGCATTTTTTTATTTTTCTTCGCATTGTACGTGTAATTTCATACGGGGCTAATTATTTTGACTTAAAATATAAATTTCATAACGTTCCCTCCAGCAAAAAAAGTGCCAGTGGTGGGAGACTAAAGGAGATGAGGGGAAGCGTAAGTCGACCGGAACGCCGCTTCTGGCGCTCCGGCGAACTTGTCCCCTGTTTTCTGGCTTCATCATACCTGCTTGTATCATACCTTAGCGGAGACCTCNAGTAAATTCGCTTTTTTTTTACGACATTTTTTCGTTTGTCTTTCCACTGATTCAGTTACTATTGCATGTACATATGATGTTTATATTTTATAAATATTGGGGCCCACCAATTATGCACCCTGAAACGGCTGGAGCCTATGGGGCCCTGGGAAATTATCATTTGGTGATACTTCCGCTGTTACCGACAGGGAAGATTTTGATATGGAGCTTCACAATTGGCCGCAAAACGTGGGGGGGTAAAAGGCAATTCACAAGTAACCAGATGTGGAAGACGGGCCTTAAGCGCAGTGGTCAAAAAGTTGAAGTTATTCCCGCGAATGAAACTCCGTCAACACGATTTTTAAGAAAAAACATTTCGAATAAAAATTCACGGTGAAAAAAAATTATTCATGAATGAATTTTTTTAAGAAAGCATTTTGAGAATAATTTCTTCATCACCCACAAATAAAAAAAACACGGAGACAAAAGATGCCAAAAAGAAAGAAGATATGAATCACCCAGAAAATTACTGAAAAAAAATTACAAATAGTGCCAGTAATAGATTTAAAAAAACTCCACAACTGTGTTTGAAAATTTCGCACTGATAATGCTATTTGTCCGGCAGGAGTTATTACCTAAACCTTTTTTTAGGAGGAATTATTCCATTAGGCATTTTGCTAAATGAATTATATTTCTCAAGGATTTTTTTAAAATAATACTTGCAGAACATTTTTCCTCAATGAATACATTCAGGATCCATGAATTCAGTTCAATAAATTCAATTTCCTTGAATTCATTCAGGAACTGTAAATTCAAATATAAAGCGGGAAGCGCACGTGGCGTCGAATTTGCTAACTCGTTGGCGTCTCATCGCAGCGCGAGACGGCTTTACGAGAGGCACGAGGTGAGCGAAATAATATGACGTTGTGATTGGCCGTGTATATGAGGAGCGGAGGGGCATCGACCGGTCTTGCAACGGGCTGGCATCGTACTGGCAGTTCCCCCCTTCAGTGCCACCAATACACAAGAGCCGAGGACTCGCTGTCGCCGACCATTGGTCCTCAATTTGCCGACCAATCATTGAGAAAGTGGCCACGAAAATATCCAATGTAAGTCCACAAATTATCGAACACTTGCCAACGCTAAGCGCGGGCATCGTGATTCGCCTCAACCTTGCAACAATTATACATATTATTTGTTTTGATGTTATTTGAAGTGTTTTTCGGGACATTCAAATGCGTCCACGCAATACGTCAAATGCCTTGTTAACGGCCATGTTTGTCGTGGCACACACGAAAGCTCGATTATTTCCAATAAATTGTTGTTCGTCATTAACCACAATCGACAACTTGACGGTTTTTTTACAATTGGAAAATTCATAAATATAAGTATCGATATTATTGTTGCAAAGTGTTGATCCGTTATAATGAGTGACCATAAGGCTTTTTTGCCTTATTTTTACAACGATGATAATGGATAACCTGCGTCATGTTGAGTGAAATAGCTAGACCAAACTTACTGCTTTTCTGAACAACTTTGAGTCTTTTCTGGGTAACGCAACCTCAGTTTCCGTCCCTGAAATTTCGTAATGATTCTTTTCATCCAGCACAAGTGAACACAACTCCATTCTCTCTTTGCATTGTATTCAAGTTATCAGAACTGAGGTGATGATTAGCTGACTGGATTTCTGAATATTGACTGCGGGGGAGAGGTTAACTGACGTATGTTTCACTTTTTCTGTTTCGACAGATAGTACGAAGTAAAGATGGAGCAGCTAGGGGAAGGTCAGACAGTTGTAGTTGGAGGTGCTGGTGGAACAGCTCTCCAGGTAGTTCAAATGGGTCAGGGTGGCCAGGCTATGATGCTCCCACAAACAATTCAGGTTGCAGCGCCAAATGGACAGATTCAAATGATGACATCACTCGCTGGGGCAGGACAACAGATTGTTATTCAACAACCACAGACACCACAGATTATACAGACCCCAGATGGACAAACTTATATCTATCAACCCGTTCAATTAGAGGGGCAGGTTCAACAGGCACAACCTACAGGTAATCAAATCAGAGAATTGAGGAAATAAATCAATTGATTTCCTCAGTTTGTATGATTCGTTCAGCATTCAAATGAATAAAAATTTTCAAAGAACAAATGATTGTATTTGATGAAATTTCATGTTAAGTTGGAAATAGGAACTTTGATGAGGTCTCATTGAATCAATGTGGTGTTTTTCGAATAGAAGAAAAGTTACATTCAACTGCATTGACAGAAAACAATAACTTTTTAAAATAAAAAAAATCAAAGACATCTCCCTTCGATGATTGCAGCTAGTCGGACCATTCTTGTGACAAGAATGGATAGTTCTCCCAGAAAACTATCTTTTTCTGAATTTTAAAATCTTGACTATTTATTGTAATCAACTTGAATTACTTATTTTGCAAATTACTACTTTCTTGTCTTACGAATCTATTAAGTTGCTCTAATTTTTTGAATATTTTCGATATCCAATCGAGGAAGAGGTTGTGACAAGACTGGACTTGATTTGAAGCATTCGTTTTTTTTCTCTTAGTGTGTAATGAGCGCTTCTCACAAAGGGAATACGTTGATTTGTTCGATTGCCATCTGGGTTTAAAAAAATTAGACGATTCACTTTATTTAATTACGAAGGCGCTATTTCAATAGCAAAAAGATGAAACGATTTCAGTTGATTTCAACTCACCATCAGCTGCAAAGAAAGTCTTAATAGAAATTCCACTATCTCATTGAAAATTCTACATATCTTGTAAACATATCTGCGTGAGCAGAAACTGTTTTTCCACTTTCAATGGAAAGCTCCATCAATGTCCTGATCCTGTGTCAATTTAAGGTTGTTGTCGCGAGAGCGTCACACTTGAAATTTTTCACGCTTTGGGCTGGTATCCCGCTAAACAAAGAACCCGTGTTAAAACACAAACTTTTGTTGATGTATAGTTCGACTTGGCTCACGCATACATGAATGTACTATACATAAATACGTGCGCATACAGCTAACGCCGAATGGTGTCGATCGTGGCAACCACGCGTAGTGTATCTCTCTCTTCGTGTGAGTCCTAACCAGCTAGAATTCGTGGTTTATGTTAGTGACTTATAAAATCATTGGGAAAAATTTCAAATCGGCTGAGGCATAAAGGGGGAGGTTTGTGAAAGCGCATGTGTCGAATAAACAGCAAAATTTTGCTTCGAAGATGGTGCGTGCCAAAGAAAACCAAAAACTTCAAGACACTGCTACAAGTACAAGTCAGGTTGAACGCGAGAATGAAAAAACGAATATTTGCTCAGGAAGGAGAATTGTTGAGCTTTCAGTCCTTGGCGAACATTTAAAATGTAGTTGTAAAGAAATACTACCATTAGAAAATGTTGAGAATGAAAAACGAATGGGACTCAATTCCATCCTCTTCTGGAATCCATTCTCTGGAAATTAGTGGTAATTTCCATGAAGCACTATCTGATGTTGAAGTTTTAGAAATATTGTCAGAGAAATTAATAACCAAGGAACAATTATTCCGTGCAAAAAAGTCGTACTTGGAGTGTATCGTATCGGAAATTACCAAATAAAAAGCATTGACATTATTACTTTCGTTAATGGTTTTAAAGAGCAATGTATCTGACAACATGTTAAAAAAAATTACCAACGCTGGTGTCTCATTTGACATATTGTTGACAGCGAAATGACATGGACAATTCCGAGTTACGAATACTAAAAAAGTTATTGATAAAATTATTTCCTATTTTGAGAGTCGTGAGTCAAATAACACATGACTATCTATTATTTTATTATACTATTTTCCATGTTTGTTAATTATTACAGTGTTTATAGATAGTCAATAAAAAAAAGACTGAATTACCGCATGTTTAAACTACTCATTATAACCCGACCATTTCAAATACATCCGCGCCACCGACTCGAAGCTGCATTGTTGTCACGACTCGCATACTGAACTCACTTGCCCCGCCCATTGGGGGGAAAAAATAACTTTCTATGATGATTTTTCTAAAATGAAATGGTCAATCAATTTCATTTTTTTTCTGTACATTGATTGACACTATTTCGACCCTGTAATTTTTTTTTAATAAAAAATGTCGAGTGCTTGTTTTTTAAAAAATTATAAACAATGAAACTGCATTTAACATGTAAAATAAAATAAAAATTAACTTAAGTTTGAGATGGTCAATTGCAATTATAATGGGCTTATTTTACAGCTAATTTTTAGAGCGATCTACGATAAAAATTAAAAAAAAAACTGTCGAAAAAAAAGTTACACGACAACAACCTTAAGAGCCCCCGAGTTTTCATGGAGGGGAGAGTGAGGCAAAATGAAACAGTGGTCACAATGAAACATGGGGGATAATTAAAGCAGTCAAAAAAACAAGTGTTTGACATAATTCCAGTAAACAAACTTTTATCATTACATTTTTTTTGTCGACTTTTTTGCTTCCGAATGGAAGCTTTGTTTTTGGTCAATTTTTAGATTTTCTAATTTTGATTGCAAATGGTCTAGAATATCATGAAACGTGAAAAAATGATGTATTTAAACGTGAAAAAATGATGTTTTTTGTCGCCATCACATTGAACACATCATTCCCCATATCTTCAAATTTTTTCAAATTTTTCTTGAGTTCCTAGGGGGGTGAAACGTTCAATTTAATCAAAACTCCATAAGAGGCCGTGTATAAGACTGATTTTGTTCATTTAATTTCTCGATATCCATAAGTTCTAAAATTTTAAAATTGTCACCGATGTTCACCATCTGTCTAATACTATTAATTAAAAAAATTAAAACTTGGCTGGTGAATGTCAATTTTCAAGGTCATCGCCAAATTTACTTGGCACCCTTAAAGGTCCGTATTTTGAATTGGCGTAATCGGCCCAGTGGTTTGGAAGATATTAATTTTTTTGTACAAATCCGTTTTATCAAAAGGTTAAATATCTTCTCCTGAACACCTTACAGAGTGTAGATGCCTATCCCATGGACTGGGGGTGAGGTAATATGTTTAAATTATTTCAAAAATTTGACGATGGCATTCACTTTTAATCATCGGACAGTTCTTTCTCAGTGACATTGTGGATATCTAATTTTTTGGTCTGAAAGTTACTTTGACGTTCCATTACATGAATGAAGGATGTGATAAACTTCTAAAATGTTGAGGACTAGTTGGTATCATCGAGTTGCACTCCTGTGTAAAATTTCAGATTGATCGATTCAATACTTTTCGAAATAGAGCACTTAATGTAAAAAACGTTTTTCGCATAAAATGACAGATCGTTGTTCTATCGTTGATTTGCACATGGAAACATTTCTTTAAAATGGGGTCGTGTAACTATGTCTATCCCACTGGATAAAACAGAAATTTAATTATCAATTTTGGAATGTCAATCGTTGCGAGGAAACGTTTTCAATAAAAATTGCCATTTTTCAATGAAAAAATAAAATTTCTGCGGATCCATTTGGAAGATTACTGTCAATAGAATTGAAAGAAATCATAAATGAAAATGACAAATAACGCATCAAGTAAGAGCCACATGCCTTCTGACAGAAAGGCTCGGCACCCCTGCTTGTTTATTCTTGGGAGTACTGATGAGTATAATAATTTTCCATTCAGTAGAATGCAAAATTGTTGAGAAGTTTTGATGGGCGTATATTTTGTCAACGGATTATTTGATGAAAATTCAGCATCCCATTTTCCTGTTTTCCCCTCTGGGTTTCCCCAGGGAGTCTATTCTCGTGTTGAAGTCGTGCGTTCGATTTCAGCATGTACGATTTCAACTCCAGAAGAGGCTCCTTGGGCTTTGCCCTGGATTTTGGATTTTGCTGTTTCATTTTCTTTTCAATTAATCCATTGACAAAATCTTCGCCCGTCAAACCTTCTCAATAATTTTCCATTCTACTGAATGAAGAACTTTTTTTTGCTTGAATTGCGTCAAGCAGTCGTTTTTTCGACTGCTTCATTTTGCTCCGTGCTTCATTTTGCTTCACTCTGCTCTATGCAATTTATGTTGTTTGGGTCGCTGATTCCGAATTTGTCAGTCTTTTTTTGAAAAAATCTATTTGTTATCAACTATTTAATTGCTTAAACGATCATATCACGGAAACAGTTGCAGAAAGGGATACAATTTTCAAACAAAAGATGTTTAATATGTTGAGGTATCCATTTTTGTTCTATAACTTTTTTCCTTAACTATGATACATAAGGAGTTGTCAGGGCTGGCCGCGACGTTAGTACTTGCACAAGGTAACGGCGCGTTCCAATGCCATTATCGGCAAAATCGTCGGAGAAAAAAATGGGAGAAAAAATAGTTCAAATAAAAAATGTTCGCCATCAAATTTTACGTATCATTAGATTTTTGAAATGTTTCATACACCTAGCCGTTGATGAGTTATTAACGCTCTTATGCTCCATGATGGAGCAAATTACCTACAACGTTATTGTCTATTACACTTTGAAAAAAATAGAATAAAAATTGTTTTTTCTTAAAAACTAGACAGATTTCATCTTGTCTTTTTGTCATATCTTCCTTATTGAGAAATATATATGTAGTCTGTAAAATGAGAGTGCAGGGGGTCCCGCGCTTACCGCCGAAGCTCGCTACTCGCGCAGGGGCTAATGCACCACCCGCTTTGCTCCCACAACCGATAACTCTTTATCTACCATAATTAGGGAAAAAAGTTATAAAATGAAAAATGTATATTTTTACATGCCAAACATCTTTTCTTTGAAACTTTTTCCTCTATTTGCAAGCATTTCCATGATATGATAGTTAAAATAATTAAATTGCTAACAACTAATAACACATCGGATTTTCCGGAAAAAAATAACAGACAAATTGGGGATTAGCGATTCAAAAATTAATATTCAACACATCAAAACGTGCGAATCCCGAGATTTATCAGCAATAGCTTCTGCGTATGGACTATACGGACTAGTAACCACGTGGACACCTCGCACTGGTACTTAACGGGCTATACCTCTGTCAGAAACGGAGATATGATAACAAGACATAAGATTAAATCTATCTATTATTTAAGAAAGAACTATTTCTATACGTTTTTTTTTGTATCTTGAACCGCTTACTCGCCAAAGTGTAATGAACAATAGCGTTGTAAGTAATTTGCTCCACCACGGAGCATCACGTAGGAAAAAATCGTATAGAATCTTTCTATACGGACTGTGTATAGCATTTCTATAGGTTTTTCTTATATGATATTCGGATATTTCTATACGAAAATTTCCTATACGGTTCATTTCTATACGAATTTCTACACGAATTCGTATAGAAATAATCCGTATAGGGAATTTTTGTATAGAAATATCCGAATATCATATACGAAAAACCTATAGAAATTCTATACGCAAATCGTATAGAAACTTTCTATACGATTTTTTCATACGTGATAAGAGTGTTAATAACTCATTAATGGCTAGGAATATGAAAAAATTTCGTAAAACTAATGATACGTAAAATTTGATGGCGAACATTTTTCATTGGAACTATTTTTCTCCATCTCCAACGATTTTCCCGATAAACGCATCGGAACGTGCCGTCACCTTGCTCAAGTGCTAACGCGCCGCCCTCTTCGCTCCCACCCCTGATAATTCATTATGAATCATAGTTAGGGAAAAAGTTATAGAACGAAAAATGTATCTTGACATGTTAAACACCTTTTGTTTGAAACTTTTTTCCCTTTCTGTAACTGTTTGCGTGATATGATCGTTTAAGCAATTAAATTGTTGATAACCAATAGAACGCTCGATTAAAAAAAAAAACTCACAAATTTTGAATCAGCGACCCAAAAAATAATTTCATACATCAAAACTCAGGGACTTTTAAATTGACACAGGATCAGGTACAACATACGGACTAATAAACCACTCGTTAATTTATTAAAGTGGTACCTTTTCCAGATCCCGGAGACCGTGGAGCATAAAACGCTTGTATATGTGTTTGTATCACGTTCCCTAAAAGCTTATAAAGCTCAAGTGATTAGTCAGATATTGTACACGTGGAAAATCAACCAGTCTTTTTTTCAGCGTTTTCATCCAACTAAAATTCATTAGCATAATGATCGCCAAAATCATCAGATCTAATGAAACTATTCGTTTTCAGTTATAAATGTCAATGGCACGTTGATGCAAATTGCCGGAGCCACGACACAAGGGACGACAGCAACTACCGCAGCTCCAGTGCAACCAATGTCGAGTCCAACAGCAGCAGCACCTCAGGCAGGAAATATTGTTATGGTGAATACGTTCAGAAAGTCTCTTTCACTTGCTTAGTCTGTGTACCATGATATACTGGCTAGTAGTGATAACAGAGCGACATTAGTGACAGAATGCAACGGCATTTATTTACCCTGCATCATTCTTTATTTTCTAATAATCTGGCTAATTTGTTCGTGAGCTTTTCAATCTTTCGGTACTAAATGAGTTTTAATGGACACTTTCAATTTCTTCATAAATCAATAACTCATTGCATTTTTAAGGACGTCAAGTATTCCTCTTTCTGTGGAAAATACTCTTCCTCTCTTGGTAATGAGTCCAGGCTGAGTTGGATTGACGACTTAGTTTTTTAGTTATGGGTAGTTTCATAAAAGTTCAGAGTGTCGATTAAGTCCTTCTTTCCTCTGAATAGGTGAGCAAATCCACCAATTCTGCATATAAAAAATTGCTGCAAAATTTTACATTAAAACAAAAATTTTTATAGAAAAGTATAGTCCAAAAGAAGAAAAATAAGCACAACCGCAACTCTGTAACTCAATAATTGGCGGAGATATTGAAGATTGAATTTTTTTTTCAAATGTAATTACGAGCCACTAAGAACAACAAAAGAAAATAACATAAATTTTGTCGAAAATTTTCACAGCTTTTCGAAAAAATATTATCATGTATTTATGTATTTTGGCATGGAAAACTCATAGAGAAAGTTTCAAATAGTCATTTGGGGTCGTTCGCCACCCTTTGTTTTTTGTAATTTTTTTCATCGTTAATTTCACAAAATTTCCTAATCAACACCTATTTTTAATATTGGTGCTCTGAAGAATTTCGAGGCAAGAACAAAATTTAGTCCTCCCAAAAAATTAGTTTTCCGGAAATATCTCGGAGTCCAAGGAAGATGGAGAAATTTTGGTAAATATCTTTTTTATAGAGTAGAATGAGATCTACAAAACACTTCTATGGAATTTTTTCCATCCACTGTAGATTCAGAGATATTTATTGAAAAATTATCACCAAATTCAGATGTGATTAAGTTTTTTCTATATCTCAGGATTGAAGCGAAATGTCAGTTTCTTGGTAACCACCTTTCTTGTAGGGAGAAATGAGAACTACCAAAAATGTTATTACAAAAATCCCACTATCTGTTTTGCATTCCGAGATGTCCACAAACTAATTTTCGGAGGTGAGTCAGACATCTTTTTTTTAAATGTCTTCACCCCCGAATTAATTTCTGTGCTGGGTTATGATATTCAGGAGATTGAATTTCTATTAATCAATGCTCAATAAATCATAACAGTGGAGGTCATTTTCCTGGAATTAATTCATTTTTCGAAATGGATACATCGTTGGTATTCCATGCAGATTACCAGAGATTTTCTTTTCTCACCCAATTGTATTCGATGAATTTCCTTTTTCATTGCACTAACCATTGCTGGAACGAAGAAATTCCATACAGTCATTCCTGTAGATTTGGAGACTGAGATGTAAAGTCTAAAACTATTCGAAATGTGAAATTGATGCTTGAAAGATAATAGGGATTATAATCAGGAGTTTCAACGAATTATAAATAATGATAAGGAAGTTCATCGAATTCAATTGGGTGAGAAAGAAAGTCTCTTGAAATCTATCATGGAACATCAACAATGTACCCATTTCGAAAAACAAATAAAATCCAGGAAAATGAACTTCATTTTTATGAGTTTTTGAGCATTGATTAGTAGAAATTAAATCTCCTGAATATCACAATCAGCACAGAACTTAATTCAGAGGTGAAGACATGAAACAAGATGTATCACTCAAATCCAAAAATTAGTTTTTGAACAATATCTCAGAATGCAAAGGAGATACAGGGATTTTTGTAATAACCTTTTTTGTAGATCTCATTCTCCCCTGCAAGAAAGGTCTGTTTGAGATGAGGATCTAGTTTTAAGGTGGATGTGGGAGGTGTTTCAGGATAGGCTGGAAATTAATTAAAGCGCTAAATTCTAAAAACTTCACTATATTTAGTGGAATCGAACCACTTCGTTAATCGGTATTTTTATACTTTGGTTTCAACCAGTTTGTTGAGTGTCTCAAAATATTAATACAGAGGTTGATGTACTGAATTGTTAAACAACCTGGCTGATGGAAGTATGGTGTGGTCACGAAAACGCGTCGGTTAATGAAAAAATTCCAATCGATCCGTTAAAATGTCCTGAACAACATATCAAAATGTTTAAACATAATTCCATCCGGCTGACATTCAAATTAATTAAAAAACTCGACTTTTTATGGTGTAACGCCAAGAACTTCAACCCTATAACTTTAACTCATTCAATAGACGAGAAAAAAATATCAACTTGGAGAGAAAGAATTTCTCTACAAAATGGCACTAAAAAATAATGTTCGAAGATAAATAATTACCACGAAAAAAATGCTGAAGTTTTTTAACCTCACATTACGGTCGACAATAACATGAGGCTCCGAGACCCGCCCCTTTGCGGCGCGAGCAACTCAATCGAACGAGCGCGATGCGCAGTAGATTCGAACCTATGTTGCGTGCTGTCGTACATATTTATTTGATTCTCATTCGATTACATATCTGTTAAACCATCTAATTATTTGTTCCAACATGGAAATCAATTGATGGGATAGCAACAGAAGAAATGTAAATAATATGATCAGATGATTTATTGACAATTCAGCGTAAATATTTCCTTGATGTTGAAATTGTCAGAAAGCGCACATTCATTTTTTTTCCATTTGGCTGGACAATTCATTTTACTTGATTAGTGGCTCGTTTCAATAGGGAGTAAAACGGCACCGTATACCGTAAACTTCCCCTCAGCTTGCCAGCTGTATTAGGATCATCGGTGGTCAGTTTGGGCACTAATGGCGTCAGGGAGTAGCGTATCTTCCAATATGGCGGCCTCCTCGATCTAGAAAACATAACCTTTTGTAAACAAACCGAGCGTATGTACCCAGAAAATTGAAGGATAATTGCAAAGAAATAATCAGCAAAAAATGTACGTTTGCTCTTTCCCTCATTGCAAAAACAAATCTAGATTCAAGATCCCTTGTGGAAAGACATACCCAGAAATCCACAAGAAGTGGGTGGATTTTATTGGTATAGATAAAGTAAACCCTATGTCGCGAAAGGGTTTATGCGAGGCTCACTTTACTTCAGATCAATTTATAATTCAAAGTAAAAACACAGGTAAGCATCTCCCCTATATTGTTTCACCNTATTAAATACAGAACAGGTAGGAATAAATGTCATATTATATTTCAGGAGAAAAATTAACGATCACGAAATTGGAAACAAATGCTGTTCCGACAATTACAATTGTTCTACAACTGGATGAGGAAATATCAGGTTCGTCAACTCGCGAGAAAAAACAATAAAATCATGTATTTTACATTCTTATTGAATTTTATGTATTTTCAATAGGAGAAGACATCACTCTACTTCACTGTTCGACTCCTGATGACTCTCTTTCCTTCCCTGCTAGTCCTGGGAAACGCAGGTGGTCAAAGTGCTTTGAACAGGAACGTATCTCTGATCAAATTTAAAAAAAAATGTGGAAGTATTCGCGCGCAAGAGCTTGGTGATGAAGAACCTCAAAGAAGATTGACTAAAGTAGAGGCTCAGATCTCGGGGTTAGACTGACCCCAAGCCAAAAGTAGTTCGACCCCAACGGAGGGATGCCGCCACGGTCGAATCTGACGGCTGGGCGAACTGCCTGTGCGGGTAACTCGGCAGTAGCAGTCTCGCTGTCACAGGGATAGTTTCGGAGTGGAATTTGTGTCCTCCTCGTCCTCAGCATGTTCTTAATGTTTTTGAGGTGATTCATTTGCTGGCTAATTAATATTAAGGAATGAAACACAGAGGGTGTGATGGAGAATTAAATTCTCCATCAATCGATCCCCGTTGCATCCCTTAATCTCTGTAACAAAAAAATACAAACTACGACAAAGTCATGGGCCAGTGAGAAAAATAATTTTGTTCTCGGCGTACAGTGACTTTTCACCATTCGCTCGCGAATTAAAAATTCACTTCTCCCCTCCTAATTGAGATTAAGGGATGAAAAAAG